GACTTCATGACTGAAACATCAAAAGCAATGGCAACAAAAGCCAAAATAGACAAATGGGATCTAATTAAACTTAAGAACTTCTGCACAGCAAAAGAAACTATCATTACAGCGAACCTGCAACCAACAGAATGGGAAATCCTGCACCCAGCACTTAGCATTTGAAGACAAATAAGGTAGATAGTGGTCTCCTGTTATGTTCCTCACTAAATAGAGAAGCTAGCTATTCATCATGAAAAACCCAAGAATTATGGATGGAGGCACAAGTCATCTAAAAATGATAACAAATATTGTAACTGGAATTTTTAATTACTAACCAGAAAAGTATTTCCAGCAAATATGGATAGCTATAAGGGTTGAAATTTGATGTTTTGCTTTATAAGTAAAAATTCTGCTTTAAACTTTAACTCTTCAGTAGACAGACAGCACATACACAAATACTTACAAAAGTTGAACATAAGGAAAAAGTTAATTTTGAGTTATAAAGTATCAAGTAAAATAAAAAATTGAAACCATGAAAACTTTCTGCTCCAAAGGAGCGAGAAACAGGAGAGAGAAATCATTTTCCCATCTGCTATTTTTGAAAGAAACTAGAATTCACTTACCCCAACATTGTTACATCTAGTCACCATGTTTCTAAATTCATCTTCATTTCCAGATCTTGTGCATAATTTATAGCTAATTGGTTGGTATCTTTCCCACCAAGGTCTTGAAGGGTTGTGAACTACAAGATTTTCATTTGGTGGAGAGACCTACAAATTAAACAGTCTTAAGTACCAAATTGTGTCTTACATTATATCATTGAATGCCCTAGAAACTAATCAATAATATAAAAATATTCTTGAATCTTTGTGTATTCAACTGCCTCTTGAAAATATTAACAGCACATTAGAGGATTCTTGTTGGAGAAAGAATGTCTCAGAAAGAAAATATATAGTTGCCAACAATACTACATTGGTTTTTCCTCAGAAAACTGTTTTACTTAGAATATCTACATGTGAAGTACAATGTTGCCCCAGCCTCACAGATAAGATCAGAACACTATTTACTACAATACAGCAAATTCTGCAATTTATAATAGGAATAATACCCACCTGAACCCCTCCAAATCCATTGGGAGCTAAGTATCGCTCACATTCAAGAGCAATATCAACCCATCGCCATTCAAACAGATGAACAATAGACGTCCG